ACTGTCTCTTAGCTTCATCTTTGGTCCATTTGGATAAGGCATCTTTTCTTCCAAGGAGCCAATCCTTCTTCATTTCTGTTTTTCGCTCTTCCTTTATCTTATTTTTTTGGATGCTGGTAGGATGAATACAAATAAACTTCTGGGCCCTGAGGCTGAGAGTTAGGCAAAAAGTCTAACAAAGGCATGGAACCGAGTTTATACCCTACAGATGTCCACTGACCACCACTTCAGGCCTGCGTTAGGTACTTTCTCATGTATTGATTTTGTGGATTCCCAATGACGAGGCAAGACAAATTATCCCTATTTTACAGATGAGGAAACTGTTCCCCAGAGAGGCAAGTGATTTGCCCCAAGTCACCCAGCTGCTAAGTAGCAGAGCTAGGACTTAAGCTTGGGTCTTCACACTGAAAGCTTTTCTTCTTTGCATCACCACCTGTCCCTTCATAACTGAGGTAGTTGAATCAGATGTGTGTGGACAGTTGACATCCAAGCTGTCCCCATGGGAGAACTGCCTCACTCCATGCACACTCACCGTGTTGCAAATATTTACCAGGGTGCCTACAGTGTGCCTTCTCCATGAACATAGGCTTCCGTATTCCTGCAAGAGCAGTAAATCAGCCTTTGAATCGTCCTATGCTTTTGCCATTTCATAGTTAGCAGACTGATTCTATGAGGAAGGTAGTTGTATCTGAGACCTTAAGAAAGCCTTTTGACTAACATTGATAACTTAGGGGAATAATGCAAGAAAATCCTTCACAGAAGGTCTTAACCTTTCTCAGTTATACAGGCTGTATTGCTGGGATCGTAAGGATCTTGATGATGACAATGATGAAGGAGCTGCTATTTATTAAGCTCAAACACAGTTCTCATTTAGCTGAGGTGATTGTTTTTCACTAACATTGAAAGTTATTTATTAATTTATGCATGCACTCAAAAGTATTTACTTGGTACTTGATATGTGCCAGGTACAAAGATGAAAAATGACCAGGACATGTGACCCAACCTTTGACCAGATCACTATCCGTGACTAACAGTGGAGGCAGACACATAAACCTTTAACTAGAACACAATGTAAGAAGTGCTGCAGTAGAGAGAGTGGCAACAGGATGAGGTAACCCTGACCTCTCCCTGCAGAGATCAGTGAAGGATCTACTGAGCATGGCACCTTAGAGTTGGGTATTGAAAGATGAGTAGAAGCTTGCAATTTGCAGAAATCAAAGATTAGTTGGTGGGGTGACAAGGCTGGCAACTTGACCTGAAACTAGCTTGTTAAATTTCATGTAGGGCAGACTCAGGCATTTGAACTTTTACATTAGGATCTGTTGAAGGAAGGATTTCAAATGAGCTATCAAAAGTACAGGGCACATTTCTGATCCTCATACCCTAATAAACTTTTCCCAGGTTTCCAGGAGAATTGGCAAATGCCATGGCTCTGAAAATGTGCTCATCTTAAGCATTTTGTAAACCATAAAATGACTTCCAAATTACCTACAAGATACTTTTGGATTTTTTTTTTTTTTTAATTTCTGAGGGATCTTCTAAGTTGTGATGTTTCAAAACTCTTCCCTTCACCTCATAAGCTTCCCTGCCAAGTCGATTATACTTTTCTCGTCAGGCTGTTCGGAGGGATTAATGCGCTCATTGCCATGATGAACTTGGCACATGAAACTGCAATCGCTGGGATTCCATCGAGCCAGCCTGCCATTTCACAGATGAGGAACCTCAGCCATGAAGAAGATGAGTGCCTTGAACAAGGTCTCAGCTGGTAGACAGTGGAGCCAGGGCTTACACCCAGCGTGCCTGGCTGCAAAATCCTATTCTTAACCACATTATTCTCCCGGCCACAAACCGCCCAAGTACAGCTCAGTAATTCACAGTCTGCAGGAAGAGTCTTAAAGTTTACCAGCAAACACTGACTAGTGGGGAGAACAGGAATATGGGGTTAGATCTTGGCTTTAAGTCTGGACTGACTTTACACATTTTGAGTAATTAGACCTTTTTGGCAAGTCACTGTACCACTCTGTGGCTTAATTTTCCCATTTCTAATGTGGCTTAGGACCTACCTGTGACATCGTTGTGGTCATTAGGAACAGAATACCCAGAGCATGGAACAGAAACTGGTTCATAGCAGCTGCATAGTACATGAAGGAGATCATTAATAATCATAACAGTTGTAATGACAGTGAGTTATGATGAGTTTCTTTAGTAAAGTAGAGATCTTTTCCTAACCTCAGACTTTAGAATGTTCGGTGTTTCTGTAATAATGGTTGTTGGGAATGATGATAAACCCTTTCTTTTCCCCATAGGAAATTGAGGTGGAGGGAACCTCAGCCCATGCACACCAAGCCCCTGCACGTGGTTCAACGCTGTGTGCAAAGCCTAGAGGAGCAGGAGGAGGGGGCCTTCCTCCCGGTGGGAACCGACATCTTCCTGACAACCCATCCACCCCTCTACCACCCTGACCCTTGTGGGCAGTGCCAGGAAGGAAGAAAAGAAACTGCTCTGTGAGCATCTGAGCATGGTCCTAATTCCAGCTAATGACAGCGGGCAAGACTTCAGGAGAAGGTGGCCTTGGCCAGGCCTCAATGGACAGGAAGGACAGGTAGAGAGGCCGGGAGCAGGGAACATTTGGGGAGGGGTAGGCACAAGGCATTGGAGGATGAGGGCAGAGACAACAAATGGGAGCCCTCTGCATCATGCCGGGGTTGAGGCTCCTAGGGATGTGAGAGGCAGGTGGCCCAGAAGAGTCCTGGAAGAGAAGGGAACGAAGAGAGACGGGCTGCGATGAGGCCACATGACGGTGAGTCATGGAGACCGGCTGTGGTTCTGGGGATGAGTAATGAGGGCATCAGTGCAGAGCCAGCTCAGGGGTTTTCAGGACAAACACACGGAGGTGCATCGCGGAGGCCACCAGAACCTGCCCCTAATGCATCCATCCAGGGGACGCTAAGCGCTTCAGAATATCCTCTGATGAATAATTTCTCCAACTCTAATCGCATTAGGGACACACGGGGCCATGGCCGGTGCTCTGTCTGTCAGATGTCGTTGCCACTTAAGTGAGTGATGCCGAGTGGGCCGGCCAAAGGGCCGGGTCTGCGGGCGAGGCAGGCAGCCAGGAGAGCTGGCCCCAGAGGTTTTATTTCTTTGGCTCTGTAATCAGATTGGAGGCAGAATGTTTTTCTGCGGCTCCTCCTTGTACTCTCTCTGGGTTGATACCATTTCCTCTCTCTGTCGGTCCTGAGGGCTGAAGTGGTAACTGCTCTACCTCTCACCCCTCCAGGTCCACCACCCACCCACGCAGGACTAGACAGGGGAAATGACCCCACAGCGGCCCTGCCTCAATTCTGTACCCATGGGGAGAGAAAATGGGCTTATTTCATTTCCTGAAGGTACAGGGCCAGGAAGCTAAGGTGTCCTTGATGGAAACAGGCGTCAAAAGGACCCCAGCGAGCTGGAAGTCAGGGTCAAAGGCAGAACGATGACATTCTGTAGGGATCAGTCCATGACTTGGCATTTATGTTCAAAGACAACTATATAAGACCAGGAAGAAGTCCCCAGGCTTTATTTTTTTATGAAAGACTTAACCTGGAATAATTGTATGGTAGAGCTTCTTAAAATGCTGAATGCAATCTGAGTTTACAATATAAAATTGTACTATTTTGAATTAAATTCATATTCACTGTAAAAAATTATAAGAGAGAGAGAGAGAGAGAGAGAGAGAGAGAGAGAGAGAGATAGTTGGCTTGGTGGGGGGATTACATAATCCCATCTCCCATGATTGTCTGTTAACCCATTTGGTTACAACCGTTTTTTTTTCCCCCTAGGCAAATTTATATAGTGTATATAATGTGATCCAGTTTTTGAAAGAACATATTTTGAAAGCTGGCTTTTAAAAATAAATATTATAAACAACTTTCAGTCATTGAATATTTTTCTGCAACACAAATATTTTCAAAAGGAAACTATTTTAGGGATTTACCATAATTTTTGTACAAAGTGCTATTTTGTACATAAATTAATTTTTCTCTACTTAAGTCAGTGCTGGGTAAACCACCGGCCTTATTGTGCACACTCTTGAGTATTTCCTTAATATAAAAAGCCCTGAAAATACAAGTGCTAGGACCGAAAGGGTTTGATTTTGTTTGCTTATGATGTGTGTGCCTGTACCACCAATGTGGGCCCTTGTGTCCTCACATGCCTCCTCACATGCTCCCTCATGCTGGATATTCAGATTTTAAAATGTCTTGTCAGATTGATAAGTGAAATGTGGTATCTCATTTTCATTTTTATGTTTTAGGTTATTAGTAAGGTTAAATATTTTTTCTCTCATATTTGGCTTTTTAATCTCTTCTGAATTGCCTATTTGTGTCTTTTGCTCATTTTTTTTTTCCTGATAGTATTATCTTTTCCCTATTGACTATAAAATATTTTAAGGTAAGACTGTTAGCCTTTTGCCTTCTAGTCTGCAAATATTTTTTTCAGTTTTGCTCCTTGCCTTAGTGTATGCATATTTCAGATTTTTGGATTGCCAAATCCATCAAAATTTTATTTAACTTTTAATCTATCAAAATTATACTTAATATTTCCTTTGGTGTCCATATCTAGGAAAAATTTCTCTTCACTTAAGATTATATGTTCACCTACATTTCCCCCCAATACGTTTTTGGTTTTATTTTTACATTTAAATCCCCACAGTTTCATTGCAATGCAGTTTAAACTAATACCCAAGTCAAAGGAGATAAGTTATGGGTAGGGAGATTTTGATTCAATATGTACATGAAATTTCTAATGATTTAGAGACAAGATTGACAACTGAGGAAATAAGCTAATCTCATTGCTTGACCTTCTATCAGGGTTTAAGAATTGCTTGGCATTCCATAAGTGCTCAATTAACATTTGCTCAAAGAATGATGGAGTAAGAGACCTCCATGCTTCTTTTCAATATTGCTTTCCTGACTTGGCGCGGGTTTTAGGTTCATTTCATCTCCAGAGATCATTCTAGAGATGGAGATTGTGGTTCTCAGGGGTGAAGCAGGCAAGAGGGCAGGATGGCAGGGAGAGAACTGATGCCAGGGGAGCTACTTCTGAAATCTCACCTTCCACGTGGTCAGTGAAGGTTTGCAAGGCTCCTTGCTGTTTGCTGGGCTCTGGGCTGGGAGGGAAATAAGTAGGTGAGCCAGTTGTTAGCCAAAGGGACTTACAGCAGGTTGGGAGGTTAGGTGCCTCTGAAGAGGGAAGCTCAGCATGTGTGGCATTGAGGAAGCAGCTG